GGCAGGTGCAGGACGGAGTTCTCGCCGGGCTGCACCCGCAGGTACGCCTTGACCTTGTGGTGCCGCGCCTTGCCGTCGCTGAAGTCGATGACACGGCACTCATAGGTGCCTTCGTCCGTGGGCTTCACTCGCGACAGCCTGAGCTTGTGGGAGATGTTGCTGCCCACCACCTTGACCACCTGGGGGCGACAGAGAGACGGTGATGCCTTCTGTAGGGGGGAAGGGGGGGCCTGGATCCCAGCAACAGACTGAGACCTCCCACCCCTCCCCACACACACGCACAGACGCAAGCACACACGAGGGCCGGCCAAAGTTTGCGGCAGGGCCCAGCAAAATCAAAGCAAAAAAAGTAGAAGCAGTTCGAGTGTTCGTCAAGGGAATGGGTAAGGAGGCTGTGGTGGTTTTATTCCATGAAATTCTGCACAGCAGTTGAGAAGAATGAGCTACACCAGACAGGGAAACACCTCTGAAGCACAATGGAGTACTACTCTGCCATAAAGAAGGGTAAGCGTGAGTCAGTAGTAGGAAAATGGATGCACGCTGAGACATAATGTTAAGAAAATCAGATACACAAGCTAAGTATCACATGGGTTCTCCTTTTTGAGAAACCCAAATTATAAACAAAGAGCAAAATAAAAGATAGCTAATAGGAAATAGGGAGATAGATCTTTTACAAAAGGGAAGGAGACCAAGAGATGGCGGGGGAGGGATGAAAAAGGAATTAGGACGTGTTATGTACAGGTACCACCTTCCCACGAGGAATGTGATCACGATGTACCGCAAACATGTACTAATAAAACAACTTTTAAAAATCCTAGGGCAGGATGTCCTCTATGGAAACAAACATCCCGGTCTCCATGCTGGCTGCGCAGTTTCTGTGTGAAAAGAGAGGAGGGTGCAAGGCCTCCCAGCACTGAGCATGGGGGCGGCACACAGGGGAAGGTGTGGGCTGGGGTCACTGCCGAGCCAGTCTCCCGGCACCTGAGCATCTGGGCTGCTTTAAAATAAAGGTTGATTACAAAGTTACCAGGATGTGGCTCACTCTTCATTCCAGTGCTGTAGATGGAGCGACCACATTTGATCTCTTGGCCTGTAAAACTTTGGCCTTTTGGTGGTTTGTTTCATTGGGTTTTTACTTTTTTTTTTTTGTATGGGGAATCAAACTCAGGTCCTTGTGCTTGCGAGGCAGGTTTTTACATTTTTAATTTTAAAATTGAAGTTTAATTTCCATACAATAAAGTACGCAGAGACTGCTGGAATTGTACTTAAGTGTATGTGTAAATACCATCCACAGCAAGCCTTCGACAGCACACCTGTGCCCCTTCCGGGTTCAGTAGGGCTGACCACTGCACACATGGCTTCGTCTGCCCTGATCTGGAGCTGCTTTCATACAACACAGCACCCCTGAGATTCCTCCCTGGAAGTGACTACTCACTCAAGAGCCCCAAGTCAGAGAGTGGCAAAGCTGAAAACTGACCCAGGTTGGGCTCCCTGAACGCTCACCTCCAAGTCACGTGACAGGTGACACAAGGTCCCCAGAGCCAGCAGTGCCACAGGGGCTCCTCGAGCTCCAGGAGGGGACAGGGGGTTGGTGGCAGCAGCGGGGAGCCTGGTGTCACCCCTCATGAAGGACAGCACCCGGAGCATATCCGGGGGCACTGAGGTAGGACATGGGCAGAACTTGCCATGGAGAGCAGGAGCCCCTCTTCCAGCTGCCTGTTCTGCGTGGGGGCCAAGGCGCAAGCGCCCCTCCCCGTTGCCCACGGTGCCCCGCTGACCCCTCTACCCGACTGAGGGCACAGAGGGCCCCGTGGTCCTGCCACATGCTGTTGCAAATGCGCAGCGGGAGCGAATTACCTCAACATCTGCTTCCCTCACGGATATTAATTATCTTTCATTTGTCAACCCTACAAGGCGCTAATGGAGTAATAATGTGAAGCGCTGGGAGCGACTCCGAGGGTGGGAGCACCCGCAGGCCCACCCTCCACCGCCGTCCCTACAGGGGGCCCCGGCCTGCCCCCAGGTCGACTGCCTCCTACCCACGCCCTCTGCCCACAGACAGCTGTGGCCTTCAGAGATGCCGGCTCCTCCCCTCTCCGATGGATGCAAGGGAGCACCCCTGAGGCACTGGGTTCTGACCTTGACAAGTTCCCAGCACCCTGGCCTTGGCCTTCTTGGGTTACATTCATTTGCTTATTCAACAAACATTCAGCAAGCACCTGCTCTGAAGACCGGGCTGCGAACAAGCCGGATCCAACAAATGCCCGCACGGTCACCTGCCTAATGCAGAAACCAGAGGAAGAGTGAGGACCCAGCCCAGAAGTCTCCGCTCTGGGCACTGTCTGCAGCAAGCAAAGGCTCGAAACAGCAGTCACAGTAACCGTAATTCCGGCAGCCACGGTCTATGGAGCAGTCCTCACTAGAAATTGCTGTGCTGAAACCTCACTAATCCTCAGACCTCATAGCCTACGATGTGGGAACTGGTTTTTGTTTTTTGGTACCGGGGATCGAACTCAGGTCCTTGTGCTTGTGAGTCAAGCAGTGGAACCTATGATGTGGAAACTGGCAGGATACCTATGGTATAGTGGGGAAAACTGAGGCTCAGAGAGGTGAAGTGTTCTTCCCAAGGGCACCCAGCTGGCGACAGCGTCCGGTCTTGCCCACAATGCTGAGGGCACCGTGTGACCAGAAACCATAGGTCTGTCTTCCCACTCTCCCGCCCTTCGTAGGCCCCCAACACTCCAGGTCCGGGAGAGCCCAGCCCCAAACCTCATCAGAGGCCTATGCCGCTGGAGCGCCAGGTGGTCCACACTGGGTTTGAGGTGGGGCGGGGCAGCCTCTTGGGTCTCCTCGCTCACAAACTGTCCAGAAACCTTTTGGCCCAGCTGCCAGTTCACCTGGAGAAGCCATAAGCAGGGAGACCCCCACATGGCGGCCTGGCTGTAAATCATAATCACCTCAGCACAGGCATTGACAGACCTTAGCGGCGCAATTAAGCACCTAATTACGCTGAAAGAGATGACCAAGCCCAGCCTCCTTTCTGCTCACCCCATGGCCCTGGCACTTCGGGTGTGGCGGGGTCAGCCCTGAGCCAGCTTGTCCTGCCCTACTGTGCCAGGAAGAAGGGCAGTGCCCACCATGCCAGCCCTTGCCTGCATGTCACCTCCTAGCTGAAGTGCTGGCCCCTTGGGAAGGTGTGGGGTACAGACAGGGGTCAAGGGGTCCCTACCCAGACCAGACTCTGCTCTGATCTCCACTGGCTGCTTTACCAGCCCCTCAATGTCGTCAGGACTCGACTACGGCAGGGGGACTGGGCCCCAGCTGGACCCCGCTTGTCCTCATCCCTCCTTTCCTTCATCTCTCCCCTGAATCCCAGTCTTTTCTGGATGTCACCGCACCTCTTCCCTTCCCAATGCCCCTGCACTGGCCAGAGTCAGGTCCTGGCTCCTCACATCTAGGTCACCGCCCCAGCATCCTTCTGGGTCTCCCCAAAGTCACCAGGACCCCTTCCATGGTTCTTCCATGACAACCAGACCAAGCCTACAAAATGCCCCCACTGGAAACTTTTCAAGACGGGCCCTTGAGGCCCGTGGGGTGCTCCCGCTCCCTGTTCCCCAGGAAGCCCTCCAGGCAGGGCGGGTCCCTGTTCCAGCTCTCAGAGGCAGCCCCGCTCCTCCTGTTGGTGGTCACAGCTGCAATCTTTATTTTTACCACAGGAGATCGCTGGATTAACACTTGGCTCCCGCTCTGGCCTGAGAGCACCTAGAAGGCAGGCGCCCGGTGTGCTGACAGTGGCCGGAGGAGGCGCCTTCTCTCTACAGGGGCCCCAGTCATTGTTTTATGGTGATGAAGGCCCCAGGGAACGGGTCTGGAGAATTCCTTAAGCTTAGAAGTGGGTTGGGAACTCTCTACCCGCAAAACCCTTTAAGGGGAAATTAACTTGAACACTAGTACAGAGGGCTTTAGTGAGGTCAAGAGAAAAACTTGCACAGTGTGACAGTGGCCAACAGCAGAAGTGTTGCCTGTGCCACAGCACAAGGCCCATCCCATGCAGGCCACGGGGGGCGGGGGGGTCACTGCTAGACCAGGGGCCCCTCCCCAGGCCCCAAGTTCACTGAGATGATGCAGGCAGAGTGCCCGTCATGGCTCCTGACAGATGGTAAGCACTCAGTGAATGTCAGCGGCTGTGGTACTACTGTATTATCATTATTATTATTAATTATTACATTATTTCAGATGCCCATCCTCCCATACAAATGATCTCACTGCCGCCAGATTCTGAGCTCTTTCCGTTCCTCGGCCCGTTTCTTGCTCCATGATAGGAAAAGGAGTTTTATGGTTCTCAATGTCATGTTAACAAATTAACAACCACTGTCACTCACACAGCCAAATCCATGAGCTGATGATACTTCCTCCCCAGAGCCTGAGACCACACAGAATATGAGACACCACCTAACCGTGGACTGCAAAGTTCGGGTCATGCGGTGTTTTTCAAGAGATCAAATCATGTCCCAAGAATTAAACATCAGGAGACACTCCATCCATGCTGGTGTTTGGAGAACATACAGGAATATCGGTCCTGGCTCCCTGCATGGCTCAGTGGCCTGATGAAGATAATGCGGCCTGGCCCCTGGGTACCCCGTACCCCCCATGAGCACCTCCACTCACTCATGTCACCCTACACATACACAGGAGCAGGATCTGTGTCATAGTGGTAACTCTATGCACAAAAATCCATTTTTGTGCACACCGGCCTGGATGCGTGCGTGTGTGTGTGTGTGTGTGTGTGTGTGTGTGTGTGTGGAGCCACTGTGTGCCAGGCACTGCCCCAGGCCCTGGAAATACATCAGACAGACACTGTCCTGGGGCCACCGTCTCTGGGGAAGGCAGACAGGAAGCAAATACTCATGGGAATGAATAAAAGCAGGCGGAAATACAGCCAGCAGGAGAAAGGAAGAGGTGCCACAGTCACTGTGTTGGGGTGGAGATTCCCCCAGCTGATCTCTGAAGGGAGAGAGAGGAGCAGGCAGCTTTCTAGGAAGAGGGCCGGCCTGTGCAAAGGCCCAGGGGTGGGGTGGGGATGGGAAGGCAGAAGGGCACAGGGTCAGGAGGTGTGGCGGGGGGAGTACAACTGGGATGAGCCAAGGGAGTGGGCAGAGCAATCTGCAGAGCCTTGAAGGCCAAGGAGAAGTTAGTGCCCTCCTCTCAGACTGCAGAAACTAAGAGTGTGTGCCTGTTAGGTGTCGCAGGCTGGGCCTCTGTGTATTTAAGGACAAGGTTTGTGTGAGCCAGGCTTAGGCCTGCTTGTACGTTTCCTCAGAGACCCAGAGAGCCGCAGCTGGAGCAGCAATTGCAGTGGGTGGGGCTGGGAGCGACTGCACACTCGCACGGAGCACATTTATTTTATTTAACTAATTAGCGTGGTCGCATTCCCCTCACGTGGGGCCCGGCAGCCTGGAATTATAATCCTCTAAATCAATTAGATTATTCTCTCCTTTGCCTGAGCCTCATCTGAAGCCGCAAACAAAATCACAGGAGAGAGGTTTTGGTGTGTTAATATACACGCAGATCCCCACCCGCCCCGCTGACGGGTGTTTGGGCAAGAAATGGGGCGTCAGGCTCGGCTGTGCCCTCAGCAGAGGTGAGAGCCGGGCGGGAGGGAGGTGGCGCTGCCAGGCCCTGAGTTGGGCCTGACTGGAGTTTCCAATGCCAGCTGCGCCGCAGGCAGATGGCACACGCGGCACTTAGATGCTCCGTGCTCTCTCCCCTGCCCACCTCTGCCCAAGTGGCTGCAGGAGCCTCCTCCTGACCTCCCTGCCTCCACACTCCCCATCTCCAGTTGGGGACGCGACCCTGTACCCCATCGCTCCTTGCTTAGGCTGTAACCTATGCTTTGGCAGGGAGCAAGGCCGCCTAATCGGCCTTGGGGTCCTGAGCTCCTCCCTGCTCGTAGGACAGTTCTGGGAGAGCCCTCCTGAGTGAAAGCGGAAAGGTTACCCCTGCACACAGGCGCATGGATGGCCACAGCCGTGCAGCACCTTCGTGTTCTCAGGTACAAATCCGGCCGGGTGCCATGAAGACACGTCCTCAGGCTGGTCCTCTTTACTTGGTGTTCTCTCCCTGTTCTGTCTCCTTCCTCAATTCTGTCGGTCGCTTTCAGGCCAGGCTCTGGGAAATCCACCTTCACAAACCCATCACCCTTGAGCTTCCCCGGGCTGCTGACTTCACCGGGGCTCCGCATAGCTTGGGACACCAATCACCTTAGGGTGGTCCCCGGAAGGTCTTTGCCTCCCCTCCCAGCCTTGATTGTCCCCACCTGTAAAATGGGTGAATACTTGCCCTTTCCTAGAGAGTGTGGCTACAACAAAATGAGCCACTGCATAAGAAGTCTGGCCAGTCCTGGAGTCCCCATTCCCAGAAGCCAAATCGCCCAAGGGCCTCAGGGAACTCAGGAATGAGATGCTGTCGCTGTCAGACATGATGGGGGAGAAAAGCCCACTCAGTCTCATTAGACCTTGTTGTTTTGTCAAATAAAAATGATGCTGAGACAGGCAGGAAGCACACAGCCTTGGCCCCAACACGAGAGAATGCATTTTCTCTCCTCCTGTCACTTTTTTGTGCCTGTCATTCAATGAACTTGAAAAATCTCTGGCTTTTAGAACATAGAGCAGGGCTATACTTCCCCTTTCTCTTTTTCTTCATCTTCTTGCCCAAGCTCCCTTGCTGATATGGACCCCCCAAAACGGGTTTTTTTAAAGGTACAGCCACATCCTCTATTAGAGCCTTTGCGAGAAGTCATTATCAAAACTCACACTTATTTTGGTGGCGTCCTTCCCTGGGTCTTCCTGCGGAGATGCTTTTAGCTGTTGGTGAGGGAGGGACAGAGAGAGCAGAGACAAGGTGTTAGCTCGGGGTGGAGGTGGGGAGACACGCCACAGGATGGGACTCGGGGGACACTGAGACTGTGGATAAAAGGGAGGTTGGATTTGATCAGTGTGTGTGGAAAAATCACACTAACCCCATTAACATGTACAATTAACACGTGTTATTACAAAATTTAGAACCACTTTTTAAAAAAAAAAGATTCCAGCTACAGCAGGAGATGCTTGGAAGCTGTGGGGTCTGGAGTTGGGGTCCCTCAGGGGCTGGGGGAGGGGTCAGACAAAAGATGAAGGTGGCACACGAAAAACCGACTGCCCATGCTAGGCATCCGGCTTCCTGAGGGCATTGGGTACCGGGAGGGTGTGTGTGAGCGGGCCAGAAAGGCAGGGTCCGATCAGTAGTCAGCAGGAGCGTCTGTGCCCGCCTATCTGTGAACGTGCATTTATAGCAGTGCTGCTGTTTGAGTCCCTGAAAGCCGGCCCCGGGCTGCCACCTGCAGCCATCTGCGCCTCCTTCCTAGGGCTTTCCCCACCAAGGTCCTTTCCATCTACGCGTGGCAGGCTGACACTATGAGGACGTGACACTCCCAGGAGCAAAACAGAGTGTGATGTGTCCTTGTGCATATGTTAGCAGCTCTTTCATGAGCACTGGGGAGCATGTAGCTCGCTGCTGCGTGGATGTGAAGGTGTGCACACGTGTGTGTTCACATACGTGTGCGTTTGCATGTCCATTTGTGTAGACACGCGTGCATGGATGCGAGTGTCTCATATGGTGCCCCCCAACAGAAGACCTGAGGACAAAGATAAAAGCACAAGTGGCTTATTTGGGAGGTGACCCCAGGAAACCCCGGCAGGGGAGAAGTGAGTGACATAAAAAGGGAAGGAAGCTGAGGGTGAGCGGCACCGCAGGGGACCCTGTAGGATGCTTTTCAGCTTCCCAGCCCCACCAGCCTCTCCCAACAGGCTCTGCCCAGGGACAGCCCTTAGGCAGAGGTGCAGGAGTGGACAGGTGGCGGTGCGGCTGGTGGTAGGGCAGGGCAGGGCCCCCGCATCTGCGCTAGGGGTGCAGGCCTGTGCGTGTGAGAGACTGGGGGTGCTGGGAGTCTGCCTGCCTGTGCATGTGCGAATGAACTTGCGGGAGGGCGGGGTGAACCAGCAACAGTGACCCCCAGTGTTTGCCGAGCCATTGACAAAAGAACTCCCGCTGGGGCCTGGAGAAGTGGGGGAGTGTAAGCTCTGAGACCCACTTTGCCTCGTAACCCAGAGCCAGCCTCTGTCCCCCCAGCCTCAGTTTCCCCGAGGGTGGCCCTCCTGCTGTGGTGTCTCGGGGGCTCAGCCTGGCTCGGCCTCCCTCTGGGCATCGTTTACCACACCCGGGGAGAAGGGAGCAGCGGAGGAACAGCTCCGAGGGGAGGCGGGGCTGCGCGCCCCCCCCACCACTCCTCAGCGCGGTACCTGGTTGGCGGCCCAGGCCTGCTTGTCGGCCCAGTCCCGATGGCTCCGCACGTACCACCACTGGATCTCCAGCGAGTAGGAAGGGGAGCCGCTGCCGCGGAAGGAGCACGCCATCTCCACGTCCTCGCCCGTCCGCGCCGTCATGTCGTGGGGTGTCTCTGTGAACAGGGCTGAGCAGAAACAGGGGTGGCTTCTGGGCTTGCGGGCCATAGCAGCCAGGGGCGGGGCCGCAGAGGCAGAGAAGCAAGAGTGGGCGGGGCCGGCAGGAGATGGGAAGGAACGGGTCTCCCTGGACACCTGGCCGTCAGCTGGGCCTGTTCCAGAGTCGTGGGAGGCAGCACAAGGGACAGATGAGAGGGAGCTGGGTCGGAAGTGGTGGGCAAGGAGGCCAGGAGGCTGGAGGAGGCCGCTAGTCTCCTCAGCACGTTCAGATCCTCCCAGTGGCTGTCCCTCCCCACACACACCCAGGGTTGCTCTGGTCCAGTGTAGGGCAGCCAGCACTATCTTTGTGAAAGCCAAATTCACCCTGGCCTTCCCCTAGTTCAGGACCCTGTGCGACTCCAATAGATCCCCAAATAGATCCAGACGCCCCTGGGCACAGCAGGGCATCCGCCTGGGCTCCCTCTTTCCCTGACCTCGCTCTCCCACTCACCTTTGTCCAGCTCATCCTGGCCTGTCCTCTCCAGAGCCCCTCCTCACTCAGGCAAAGCTCAGCCCAAGGTCGTCACCTCTGAGAGCTCCTCGCCACCCTGAGGAGCTCCCTACATCCTGCCTTTGGTCACACTGTCACTGGCTGTGGCAGCTCCTGGGGCACTCGGTGCAGGACACAGAGTAGCTACCCAGGCTTGTTGAAGGTTCTCTTCTTCTACCCGGGTGTTTGGGAGCAATTTCATCCCCTGCCCCTGCAGGGTCCAGCCCCCCCCATTCCCTGATCTAGCAGGCCCCCCACCATGCTGCCAGGTAACTGACAGCCAGTGCTGGGGGGGTCACTGCCCCTCCCCACCATATGCTCAGTCTCTCTGTCTCCCCAAACAAATATCTTCCTGAGAAGTAATTAGAATTCTTTCCTCTTCTCAGGGGAGATTATCTCGTCCTGGAAAGATGCCTGCCAATGTACAGGTCACCCAGGAATGTGATATCTGTCAGCCTCTTCCCTCCTTGCTGCTGCAGCCCACCAGACACCCCAAACCCAGAGGGACAGACAATGCCCAATCCCCGAGGGCTCTCATGCTCCTGTTCCTTTTTGTCTCCTTGTGTCCCAAGAAAGAGGGGAGCCCTGGGCTGGGAGGGAGGGGTCCTGGATCCAAGCCCCTGCTCAGGGTTGCCTGCCTTGTCCCCCTCCCCAAGACCATGGGAGCTTTGGGTGATAGGAACTGATAAATGCCAGCATCAGAAGCTTATTTCCTGCGCTGCACGCAGGACTTCCGAGTGTGCGGTTTCACTGGAGCCACGGGTTTTGGACCAAGAGAGAGCCCTGATCATCAATCTCAAGATTTACAAAAGGGTCTACGCCATCTCAGTGGGGAAGGACTGGCCACTCTTGGGTCACCAAAGCCTGTGTAACAGCAACGAAGGCTGCTTGTATGACTGACCGAGGATCAGGGCTGTGAGGTCTTCGCACACGGTCGACCTGAAACCTGTACTGTCCTTGCCCCGCGGCGCAGGAGGCAAACTCCCGGCCCTGCAGCGACAACAGCTCACCCAGGAGCCCTCACCATCACAGGCCCCACCACTCTGGCTCCCTCCTCCATCTCCTTCTGTCTTAAGGGACCCCGTGGATTCTGCCTAAACTCTGCAGACTCCATCCTCCCCCCAGGTGTGGCTCTCAGTGACCTCCTCCTGCTTCTGCTCCTTCTGTGACTTCCTGTTTTCAACACAGCAGTCAGATGTTTTGGCCAAACACCATCACCCATGTCCCTTCTCTGCTCACAACTCTCCCATGGCACCCTCTTACCTGGTAAGAGCCCGGATCCTTACAATGGCTGCTCCCTCTTGTGTTGCTTTCTACTCAATCCCTTGCTCACTGTCTTCTCATCACAATGGCTCCTTTGCTGCTCCTTGAGCATTCTGGTTAGAATCTGACCTCAGGACCTTTGTCCTTGCTGATCTCTATGCCTAGGACACTCTTCCCCAGATTCTCATGTGACTCCCTCCTTCCTCTGCTTCTGAACTCTGCTCAGATGTCACTTTCTCAGGAGAGTCTGCCTTGACCATTTCATTTAAAATTGCATCTCTAGGCTGTCTGTAGTGAGTGGCACAGGCCTATAATCCCAGCACTCTGGGAGGCTGAGGCAGGAGGACTGCAAGTTTAGGGCCAGCCTAGGCTACACTGTGACTTAGTGAGGCCTGGTCTCAAAATTTAAAAAAATGTTAAGAATGCCCGGGGCTATAACTCAATGTTAAAACCCAGGGGTAGTTCAGTGGCACAGCACCTGCCGGGCAAGTGCAAGGTCCTGAATTTGATCCCTGGTACAAAACAAAACAAAACCCTAGGTTCAATCCCCAGTTTATTTTTTTAAAAAAACATCTCCAGCTCCAACCCAGTGCTTCAAACCCTTTCCTTGCAACATCCAGGGCTGTGTCCAATAGAACTTTGTACCAGGAAAGAAGGGTTCTGTGTCTCAGCAAATACTGCAGCCATCAGCCGCACAAACCCGCTGAGCACCTGGAATAGGACCGGTGTGACTGAGGGCCTGAATTTTACAGTTTATTCAGTTTCTACACATTGAAATGTAAATCTAAACAGCCACTCCCAGGTAATGGCTACCTCGTCAGCCAGCACAGCTAATATGCGTTCCAAGAGGCAGCAACTGTGCTGTCTCGTGCACCTACCTACTGCTCACAACAAGAAAAGTGCTGGTGAGAGAGGAGACCACCCCTCCATCTGGAATTGGGCAACCGCGGGTTAACTAGGTAGCTATGATCTTTGTCGAATGTACCTGAGTAACCATGACAACTTCTGTAATCTGTCACCAAAGGAGCTTAGCAGACTCAGAAAGTCCTGCCAGAACTCTTTGCCCCCGCCCCTGCTTTCTATAAATCCCGCTTGCTGTATTCCCAGGGAAACTCCAATGAAAGTAAGCCTTGTAGATGTACAGAGAGGTACATAAAGAAGAATAAGCTTCTAGTCTGTGCTCTGGAGGCTGAAAAGAGTCACTCGCTGAGCTGCCAGCATTAAAGGCCAATCTGCTCCTCCTTTGTGTGTCCCAGTGGTCTGTTTGGATATTCCCTAAGTTTCCTGCTTCATTGGCACATGGTAGGTGCTCAGTAAACACTTCTGAATGGATGAATAGACAAATACACACAGCTGGGCAGGGGCCAGAGCTGGATCTGCCCTGAGAGCCCCGGCTAGGCCCAGCCTTCCTGACCCCAGCTGCTGGCCCCAGCCCTGGAACAGGGAATCTGCCTGGACCCAGGCCCACCTTGCCTGTGAACAGCGGAGGAAGAGAGTGGTAAGACCTGTAGGTGGATCTTGACTCTCAGGAGTGTGACCCTGAGACCATGACAGGGACATGGCTATGACCTCCTCCAAGTGTCATTGCCCTGAGCCACAGAAATCAGAAAGTGCCACCTTCACCTCCCCACACACACAGAGCTATTCAGGGGGACTTGCTCCACCCAGGGTGGCAGAGCCCGGCAGGGCTGAGGCAGCCCTCAGCCAGGCCTTCGGGACACAGTCCCAGCACTTCTGCCGTCAGGTGAAACTCAGAGACGGAGGCGGGTAAACCTTCTGCATGGTCTCAAGGGTGGAAAGAAGAGCAGAGATGGGCTGTCCTCGGCTGGAGCCCCCCAGCGTGACCCCAGGGATGATGAACCGGGCCTCACTTGCCCCTACCCACAGCCCCCCAAAACTGGCTGAAAACCCTGCTTGGGTCACCAGTTCTGCCCATGGCAGAAAGCAAGGCTCAGAGAAGGCAGGATCTGCTCAGCAGGCGGGGGGTTCTGAGTCCCCCTTGAAGAACAGCCCAGCACCGGGGGTGGCAGAGCACAGCTGCCCACCATGCAAACCCCTGGGATGACCACACAGGACGGTGCTGCCCAGCAGACTTAGAATGGAGCCACGTCATAAAACACATATGGAATATTCCGGTTTCTAAGAGACAAATGGAAAAAAATTCTAATGTGAAATTAATTTTAATAATGTATTTTATTTAACCCAAGATATCAAGAAATTATTATTTCAACATGTAATAAAATTACTAGTGAGTCATTTTACATTCCTTTTTTGTGCTAAACCATGGAAATCAGAGCGCATTTTACCTGCTCATGACACATCTCAGTAACATAATGCTGGCTGTGCAGACTGTGACCCAGCAGGAAGGTGGGTGACCTGTGTCAGCCTGGGGGGCCCGCTCCTTATCTGTCCTCACAACTAGGAGGAGGCAGCCAGGCCTAGCTGGGGAATAGTCCTCCCGTGGCCACATAGCAGAGCTGGGATTTGAACCCAGGCCATCCTGGCTCCCAAGTCCACACTGCCAGAACTTTCAGGCTCTTCCTGCATGCAGAGTCCTTTCTAAGGAGGAGTAGTCCCTACACCCACCTAGCAGGCTTTTGCAGGGGAGAGGGTCTGGTTTCCACAGGCAAAGGCTAGGGCAAGTGGGGGGTACTTCACAGCCCAGAGGCAATCAAGACAGGTTTCTCTGAAGTCCAGGTCAGCCTGAGTGGGGTCAGGGAGCAGGGCCAGGTTTGGGTGTGAGAACAGAGAACCAGGCTTTAAGGCCTTGGGGAAAGGAGTTTGCTGTGCGTGAGGCCACCGTGGTACCTCGGTCCCCAGACCCAGCCAGGTGGGATGAGGTGGGGGAGGCCCCCTCAGGATCCCAAGAACTCTGACCTCGTGCTTCTTCCCGGGACCCACACAGAGCTGCATTTGAAACCCAGTTCTGACAGGACCTGTGACCAGGACCCACGGGCCCATCAACTCCTCAGGCTTTGGTCTGCGTTATCAGGTGAAGTTCAGCCACCAGCTCCACCCTTCGGCCTCCCACTTGCACACCACCAGAGACGGGAAGCTCAGGTCCTCTCACCTCCACAGTGTGTGGGCAAGAGGCTCCTCCCTCCCCTGTGTGGGGACCTCAGCACCAGAACCTGGGGGGTGATCCGTGGTGTTCTGCTGCTGCTAATGATGATGATGAAATAATAACAATCTCTAAAGTCTAAGAAAGAAAGACAA